CCCCCCCCCCCCCCCCAGTCTCTCTCGGAAGGGAAAGCCCATGGCGAAGCTGACGGGTCCCGAGTTGTGTGAGGCGGAGCTCAAGAGCCTCCTGAAGCGAGACCGTAAGGTGTACTACACCACCCCGTCGCTCAACGACCAGCTGTACATCCACTACCGGGGATACAGACGCCTCCAGGCACTCGAGCCCTTCACCGGACTCAAAGTCCTCTACGCTGAGGGAAATGGTACAAGGCGGGACGGGGCGGCGTATCGATGGTCGTTCGTTGCATGCGGGGGAACGTCGAGATGGGTGGGTGTCTCATGCCGTCTCCCTTCTGCGTTTGTTTGTGTGTGTGTGTGTGTCAGGGTTTCGGAAGCTGGAGGGGCTGGATGAGTGCCAGAAGCTCCGCTGCCTGTGAGCTGGGGTGGCCAACCAGGGGACTCATGCTGTGTGTGTGTGTGTTTGTGTGTGTTTATGTGTGTCAGCTACGTGCAGGAGAACTGCATCGAGAAGATAGAGGGTGTGGACAAGCTCAAGGACCTCCACACCGTCAACCTCTCCAACAACTTCATCGAAACTATCGAGGGGCTCGGTATGCCTTGAAAGCGCACAGAGGGAGGGAGGGAGCGAGAGAGAGACAGCGCTTGTGTGCGTGCCGCTTTCTGTAAAAGGTGAGAATGGGAGTTTGGGTACGCTGATCATCCAGAAGAACCGTGTGGGCACCAATGGCTTATCGGACGTCACCGAACTCAGAAACTACAAAGCCATCACGTACCTGTCTCACGCAATGCCCTCTGTCTTGTGTGTTGGTGTGACCTCCCGTCTCTCTCTCTCTCTCTCTGTGTGTGTGTGTGTGTGCAGTGTGTTGGATGTGTCGGACAACCAGATCGACGACCCCGCCATACTGGATGAGGTGCTCGTAGACATGCCCGCACTCACTGTCCTCTACCTCAAGGGCAACCCGGTGGTACGCCACACAACCATATTACCCACCCTGTCCTGGGATCCACTCACTCCACAATGGAATAATGAGGTGTGGCTGACTTGTTTGTGTGTTGTGGTGTTTAGGTGAAGCGCATCCCCAACTACCGCAAGACGGTCATCAACACGCTCAAGAATCTCAGATACCTCGACGACAGACCCGTATTCCCGGACGACAGACGGTCAGGGCAGTGAGTGAATGACGTTCGTTGCACTTTGCTTGTCTGTGTGCCTGACTGACTGGCTGACTGACTGCTTTCCATGCAGCTGTGCTGAGGCGTTTTGCCGCGGCGGTTTCCCCGAGGAGCGTCAGGAGCGGCGCATCATACAGGAGGAGAAAAGGGACGAGCAGAAGCGCAACCACGACGGTCGGGCACCCACACACCCACATAAAGAGAGAGGGACAGCCGTCCTTTGTTTCATGGCTCTCTGTCTGTCTGTGTACGCCTATTTGTCTGTGTATGTGTGTGGATGCGCAGCGTTTCGGCGCTTGATTCAGGAGGCGCGTCAGGAGAAGGCGGAGCGTGACAAGATGGAGGCCGAGGACGACCCACAACTCGCCATACACGAGCACTGGAGACAGAAGGAGAAACGACGGTAGGAACGCCAGCCGACCTTCCCATGCATGTACCGTACCGTAACCGCACTCGAATGTCCATCTCTCTCTCCTTGTGTGTGTCAGATACTATGACGAGGAGGAAGACAGCGACCAGGAGAGAGAGCAACACTTTAGGTATATAGCCCCCTCTCACCCTCTCAGTGACAATTGTACCACTGCCTCCCCCTCTCTCTCTCTCTCTCTCTGTCCATGCAGAGGTGTGGCCCAGGACATCCAGCAGCAGGAGCAGAATCATCATCACCACAATGACGGCATCTACGCCGAGCGCCGGCCGTCTGCCCTCTCCCGCCACTCCACCGACCTGCCCGGCAGCTGCAGCGAGCGGGCCAACACGCGAGAAGACTTCGACGACACCGAGAGCGCCTTACGCGCCCAGCAGACGGTGCAGTCATTCTCATTCGCAGGGCCGCAGCAGGACGAGAAGCAGCAATCGGGAAGCAAGGGTGGAGAAGGGGAACGAGATGACATCTGGGGAGAGGGGGATGGGGAGGGCGAGGGTCCGGAGAGAGGGGAGGAGAAGCCCACCAAGATTGCCATTGTGGAGGAGGAGGAGGAGGACAGTGCTGATGAAGGTGAGGAGGGCGAGAAGGACCTCCCGCCCATGGAGAGATTCGAAGAAGACCAAGGAGACAACGGGCCTCCTCCCCTGATCGATAACAAGCGAGATGCAGACACCAAGACAGAGACAGAGCATCAGGGGGCCAAGAAGGCCAAGCCATCACCAGCACCAGCACCAGCACCAGCACCAGCGCCATCCTCCTCCTTCTACGAGCACCCCTTCATCCCATGGGCCAGCCATGACGACCCCAAGGACAAGGACAAGGACACGGACAAGTGCAGCACGACGGCCATGCCGGCCCCGTCGGCCGAGGCCATGGGGCGCAAGGTAGTGCAGACCATACAGAAGGACAAGGAGGGAGGGGGGGAGCAGGGGGATGGCAAGAGCATGGAGGCTCTTGACTAGCTAGGCTCACTCGTCAAACGATGCGTGTGGATGTGGTGTGGGGTGGGTTGGGCGGGGCGGGGCGGGGCGGCAGGCTTCGTACTTACATACGCATGAGGGAGGGGAGGAGTGTGTGTCTGTGTCGCTTTCAACGGCAGGTACATGACGCACCCAATGAATGTGCACTACGTATTGGAGTGGGGTGGGTGGGGTGAGAGACAGGTACACGACATGGGCATGTTTTCGGCCTACGCATAGATAGCATATGCCCACCACTCATCCAATCCACCATTCATTCATTCAAAGCGATCGTTCGACCGGTCCTGCATGTGTTGTGTGTCCGCACCCACCACAGATGAGATGCCCACACACGCCCACGTCCGTCGGACATGGGCGGTCGTAGGGGGCGGCACGGCAGACTCTCTCCTCCCTACTCTTGTACTACCTGACCTGACTGACACCATTATACGATCCATCCATCCATCCATCAACGGCACATAGCTCACACACACAGACACAAAGCACTCACCGTCCCCATCGATGCATTCCATCATCGCACATGCGCTTCGGTCATTACAGTCAATCAATCACGTCACCTCACCCACGCGTGCACGCACAAACCTCTTTCTTGACCGAGGCGGCGAAAAAGGACAACGGGACAAGGGAGCAGCCAAACACACGGCAGACAGACAGACAGACATACAGACAGACAATCGGAGAGGGGCGGACCGGCCTAAGGGCTAAAGCAAGCAGCGCCTGTGTGGTGTGTTGGTCGGTCTACTCGCCACAGCAGACCTCCACTGCCTTCTTGGGTGAGTCTTTGGGCTTGACGTTGACTTCGATGGCCTTGACCTTGCCGCCCCTCTCGATGATCACGTGAGACCTGTCGACAAACACCCCGACACACACCATCAACATGGCGTGGGTGTGGGCGGTGGTGGGTGGGGACTTACCGCTTGATGCTCTTCGGTGCCTTGAGGACACCGAACGACTTGAGGACCTCTGTCGTTCCACACAGCAGGGAGTAGGGCAGGTCGATCTTCTCGTGCCAGTTGGACTGTAACAAACACACACACACAACACGCAGGAGAGAGGAGGTGAGTATCGTCGCCCCCCTCCCTCTCTCTCTCTCTCTCTCTACCTGTGCCTTGGTTTTGTCGAGTGACATGCCGAAGACCTCGAAGCCCGCCTCGCCCAGCTGCTCGTACACCTCCGCAAACCCCTTGGCCTGAAGCAACCAACACACACCCATTAGGTGCACTTCACGTGCACACGGATGGATGGATGAATGGATGGATGGGTGGCCAGCCATCCATCGCAGGTCAGTTAGGTACCTTACCTGTGTGGTGCATCCGCCAGTGTTGGCCTTGGGGTAGAAGAAAATGATGACGCCCTTGTCCTTGTACACGTCACTCAGCTTCACTTTCTCGCCCGAGTGGTCATCCTGACACAGAGAGACAGAGAGAGCACCGAGGCGCAGAGGACGTCAGTGCACTCGTCCGTCTGTATGGTTGCTGTGTCGTGTCGTCTTGCATTGGGGTGGGCGAACCAGCTCAAAATCGGGTGCCGTCTGGCCGACGAGGTCGCCTTCCGCCTCTTCCTCCTCCTCGTCGTCAGCAGCTGCCGCGGCGGCCGGCTCAGCCTTCTTCTTGGGCCTGCCCTTCTTCTTGGGGGGCTCCTTGACCTCCTCCTCCTCCTCTGCTGACATGGACACCACAGCACACACATCACATGCAGGTCAGGTGCGGGAGAGAGAGATCTGCAGATAGATCTGCGGCACACAGATCCGCTGCGTTCGTCGGTATGCTGACCGTGCTCGTCTTCCTGGTCGTGTTCCTCCTCGTCGTCATGGTGGTCCTCCTCCTCCTCAGGCTCGGCGGCCTTCTTCTTTGCCGCCGCCTTCCTCTTCTGCTTCGGTGCCTGGTGGACACGCACGACACAGACACATCACAGGCAGTGGAAGATCCTGACCCCCGCGACCTCCCCCGAATGCATCCCGGGCGTGTGTGAGCCTGCGAGGCTGAGAGCCTACCATATTTGAGCCGCCTCGCTAGGGTGCGGACGTCGCGAACGAGCGTGTCGACAAAGGCGCGGGCAGACCAGCCCTCAGCCCACTGGGAGAACAGTGCGAAGCCCGCGTACGCAATTACCGTCCAGAACGCCGCGTGGAACACCATGCGCGCTTGCAGTCTCCAGGTGGGGGCCCTGGGGGCCTTTTAAGACGGGGAATTCTCCTCCGAGTCGCCAGCAGAGATGGCGTCGAAGCTTTCTTTCGCTGCCTTGCTGGCGGCTTTCCTGGCGTGCGTGAGGAGTGCCGCGGGTTTTCACTTCACGACTGAGTCGCGTGCGCTGCGTGAGCTGCTGAGGACTCGAGGGCTGCAGCCAGGGTTCGGGGGCTACCAGGACTCAATACACCCTTGCATGTGAGCACACAACACGCGAGGAGAGAGGGAGTGGCGCGGGAGTGCGGGAGACAGGGTCGTGGAGGCTCGGTGTCTTTGGTTGGCACCTGGTTGTCTCCCTGCCCCGTTTTGGTTGCTTGCTTCCCTTCTTCAGAGACCCACGTGTGCTGCCGCCCAAGTTCATCTATGACGGGGAAGAGTACAGATTCGACCTCGTAAGACAGACCACATAGTGCACGTACACACATCACATTCTATCCTCTGGCCCTCACTGCTGTCTCTCATTCCATTCTCATTCTAAATGCAGGTGATCAACGAGTCCTTCAGCTGCCACTTCCCCGCCGGAGGTCGGCACATTCACTCACTCACTCAGCCAGCCAGCCAGCCAGCCTCATACCATGCTTCTCCTCTCCCTGCATGTGATAGACTGCCAGCAGGACCCCGAGTACCACCACTTGCTGCAGACGTTCCACCTGGGCGACGCGGGCAGGGCGGCCTCGTCATACCATCGCAAATGCGTCACCGGTGAGGGAGAGGGAGGGAGGGGGAGAGAGGGGGGGGAGAGACACAGCATGGCATGCTGCTGGCAGAATGGGACATCTGACTGGCTGGCTGATGTGCTGTGGTGTGCTGCAGTGGACACCAAGATAGAGGCGTTCAGATTTTCAATGGGTAGGCATGAGTCAACGAATGAGGTCAGGGGAGGAAGGAGGAAGGATCGGCTCTCTTTGTGTGTGTTGTGACGGGACGTGACGGACCATTCCTTCCTTCAGACATCGACCTGCACTGTGCGGGCGTCAAGGTACGTGGCCATGTGTCTTTGTGCTACTGGACGGATGGATGGATGTGTGTTGTGTGCGTGTCGGTTCCTTCCTTACAGACAGCGAATGACAGTTTGGTGACGTGTCGCGACATCGAGCAGTACTACCACCAGACGTTCAACCTTCTCTCCCACTGCGACAACGACAACAACCTCATCGTCGGCTTCTGCTCATACGCCTGCATGCAAGGTCAGTGAGTGAGGTCCGCACGACCCACACGTGATGGATGTGTGTCGTCGTGTCTCTCTGTTAACGACTTGGCGGATGATGCAGACATTCCGGTGAGCCGCCGAGAGACAGACAGAGAGAGAGAGAGAGAGTTTGTCAGTGTGTGGCCAAGAGAGAGACTCTGAGAGATCTTGTTGTTTGTCCTTTGCCGGCTTGTTTGCTTGGCTTGCTGGCTGCGTGTGCAGACGTATCACTGTGTGGTGGAGTTCGATCGCACCGGCAGCTATAACTTCGCGGAGGAGCCCATTATCGGATGTACACTCGCACCCCACCACAAGCACACACACATATACCGAAGGAAGACGGCTGCCTCTGCGCCGGTCTTGTTTATTGTTCAGGCGGCTGGTGTCAGAACTGCTCCAAGGACGGCGGAACAGGTGGGAAGAGAAAGTGACTGACTCCAAGCAGTGCGCGACCCGAGATTGGATGAGTGGGTGTCGTGTCGTGTGTCGATTCACGCCTATGCAGAATACAACTTCTTGGCCTGTGCCGGCCTGCCGCCAGACGTACGAGCTCGCCTCCCCCCCCCCCC